GAGTTTCAACGCCCATGGGTAAAGCATGCGTAGGAGGTAAAGCATATCAGTATCGGTCTATGCTGATAGCAAAAATTTACGGTATAAGGAGCGTGCATTTTTCTTATGCAAGTTCGAAAATTTTTCGTTTCTCGTGAACTAAGGGCAGTTTAGAGCTCAAGTTTCAACATGATACAGATATAATCATGATACATCACATGTTAAGTCGAAACTTTATATATCCTTCTTCACATAAGCTTCGTATATTTACGGTATATAGAGGAAATCAAAATTCTCGAGAACTACATTCCAGCCAAATCTTCGATTATTGAAGGAAGAAAGATTTGTGCTACCACTGCCTCTGTTTTTCTTCATAAGTTTTATCGTAATGTCGTGCAACTGTCCCTTTGCCACGCAGATTTTCCTCTTCCCGTACGATTTGTCGGTGCTGCGCCGATCTCCGGCGTCTCTCCGAAGCTCCGAGCTCCGAGATGCGACCATTGACAACAGCATGGGGAGCAGCAAGTATATAGCAGCGATGTAGTGCCGGAGGACTTGCCTATGGACGAGTATAGTTCCCAGCTACGAATGATGAATATATAATTTCTCGGTGATCATCTTTGCCCCTGCGGGATCGAATCGGGCTCATAAGGAGCTCGCTTCTCTCGTCCGGCCGGGTCGAACGACCTGAAAAACTCATGTTTTCTTAGAGGAGTCCTTTTGAATGCCTGCGGGGTAGTCTAACCTCCTTCTAAGCGAATCCACTCGTCCATGTCATCGGGGAGTGGACCCGGCTGACGCTGTCCAGATATGAAGTGCGTATCATTATTCTCCGTTGTGCTGTCAGTTACCCGGCCAACTCCGCCCGAGGGATGGACGTAGCGTTGAAATTCCCGGCGTCTATCAGTCGCGAGGTCGAAGCTCGGATGCGCCTTACTATCCGGATACGACCGTTGACGCACGAAGATACGGTCGAGGTGAAGCGGGAGATGCCCACTAAACGGGGGAAGAGGAAGAGAGGTCAGGATGATGGTAATCAGGGGTTGTATCAGATAATAGATTTTTGCGCGCACTGAGTGTTTCGGATGCAGTACCGTAAATTCCCCTACATCGGAGATTGTATAATTTTATCTTCTGCTGTTAGTAGTAGAAGGGTTATTACTTGAGCTAGGTGGTATGAGTAATACGCTGGGATGCTGATTGTTGACGTATACGCGAGTGAAACGGTCGATCGATTATCTCACATTTTCATGACTAACCACAGCTTCGGATAGAAGCGCACCGCAGTTACCCCGACATGCCCCCCTCACCGCTTCCCGTTTGGGACCGGCTGACTGAGTCCGACGGACTTTATCGCGGAATGCTAAGACAGCAGGGTTCTCTCTCCCCGTCCTGAATAAATCAATACTGAAACTCAGAGTCAGTTCTGGAACTGATGACTACACGTAAAATGCGGTATCAGAATCGATTCTGAGTCTCAGAATTGGTGTATTGGACAGCTCCCCTCTTTCCTTCCATCCTTTGCTATCGCAGAGCAGTAGTTTGTGTCATGGTCATGCTGAGTTTCATGTTATCAGGTGCGCCAGTGGATCAGACTCGTCCGAAGGCGGAAGTCCCTCCCGTTGTTCCGTCGAGTGCCGAGCGAGCAGCAGCGATTGACGAGTGCCTTAGGGAAGCACAAAAAACCATAATATCCATGTAGCGCAGTAGGGTGGGGTTTCAACGGCCGACGGAATCTGTATGGTATGATTGCTGGCGTGATGTCTAAGGGCATGGGAATGGCTGTGATCACGTTTCTAGGGAGGAGAACGTTCGACTGCAATTCTCTGGAACGGTCTCTCATAGCGTGAGATTCACGTTTTATCTGTTTTTAGGGTGTCGTTCGAGGGGATGATGAACGACCGGGCAGTGCAAGCAAGTGGCTGGGCATGGGGCTCGGGACAGCATGAGAGTCGACCGCACTACTCCAAGCCTGATATTAGTGGCTCGACCACACCTCAGGTGGGTGATACGGACATCCTCGCCGCACTAGGGCTAGGGCTCGCGCGATGGCGCGGAATTGTCGAAAACGACACGTTCAAGGCGCGTTCCGTGGGGTATTATTATATCCAATGAATGGTTACTACTCTCGCAAGAAAGGCGCTTTGTATCTGCGCGTTCTTGGTCGCGATCTCGGCCGTGTTCTGCGGCCTGTCGGGTCTTTCTAGGATATTTTTATTTAGTTCAGTTATGCAAGTTATGCAATTTGAAAATTTTGAAACCGGCCGTAAGGCTTGGCGGGATGAACCGTCATTGTTGTCCCGTCCGTTTGCCAACTCTCCATGATATCAGATCCATCTCGTGCACCTTCCAAAGTCAATCCAGTTGACGATATCTCTCGAGCCTTTGCATAAGCTGATAGAAGAGCCGATGTCGCCGTTGGAAGAGCTGGCCGCAGCTGAGATGAAGTAGGCCCGAGTAAATGTCTTTGCCCCTGTCTAAAACATGAATGGTCGCCTCTGCCGACTGTACGATGGGTTATGAGTAACTTTCACCTGTGAAGAGCTGAGTCCGCTCTAACTGTAAAAGCCTCGTAGATTTGACTGTATCTATTTGAATAGATAAGACGTGTCTCTTGACTACTCAAATTGAGTAGTCAATTGAGTAACTCAATCGTCTCCGCTCGGCTTGGTTCCCGTGTATGCGGTGTCTATTATACCTAGTAACCAGCCGTCCTCGTGGACTGCAGTTTCTCATCGTGTCAGGCACCGTGTGCTGGACCGTTTGGCCCATTCCTACGACCCTGAGCTGGCCACGATGCTGACGACTCCGTCCTGTAGCGCCTCTCGGAAGGACACCACTCTTCTTGATGAGTGGTTGAATTGGTTGTCTCCTTTAATACTCACTTAACGTTTCTGCATAATTTATGTTTTGTCGAGTTTTTACGTCACATTCTTGTTGCATGGACAGCTGGCGAATGTTCAAGGATTGTTTTGGCAATCGTGATGGCCGTTGGTCGAATGCTCTTCTCACCGCGTGTCCAGCAGGCCTACGCAAGGATGATCCGAACTCTGAAAGAGGTGGGCCGAGGAGGTTGGGAGGCTGTGAAAATGAGAATTCTATCGACAAATGCGGGGGACTTTGAAAATTGTGACCACTTGAAAAATTTACATTACCTATGCTCTTGGTGAGCGAGTCGTGGATGACTCTATTCGAGTGGGGTCTAATTTAAACTGTATCGGTAGGTCAATGATAGCGTTTGTGAATTTCCCCTCAGGTTATGCCGGGTGACTTGCTTACTCAGCGCGAAATGAGGACTGCGCTACGGGCTAGTCTGAGAGACAACTACCACCTTTACCCTGAAGAGGCGGTCGTGCAGGTAAGAAGGTCCAGAATAATCTCGGTCGAAGAAACTAAACTCCATTGAGTTCGATAGCCTACCGCCTTTGCAGCTCAACATCTGCGTGCGCTGCCATTTACGATCAACTCCGGTCACTTCTTTTCCATTTTGCTATACAGTATCTGCAGCCTGAGAGCTCGTACAGCCTCTACCCAGCTAGCAAGGCTGGCATGCAGAAGGTTCAAGCCCGCAGATATCTTTGCTTGAGGATGCTGAAAGGACGTTGCTGTCTTGACTGGGTCAAGCTTATACTCGCCGAACATGCATACGACGTGATGACGTGGTCACGCTTCTCCACGTGGTGCGAGGTCACGTTGCCGTGGATTGCGGCAACCCGATGGCTAGGGACTGTCCCGGAGGACCGCGCACGATGTATGGCACTTTGAACATATGCAGTTAGATGTCACGTGTTTGTCGAATGCGTGGGCTCAGCTCAATAGTCTGACGGGAGAAAGTGATACGCTCGACGCCGTCGACGGTACCTGCTTTCGAGTGACTCAGAAACGGGGATCGCCGAGCGAACTCGAATCAAGTTTGCCGAGGGAGGCTACGCTGTAGGAGCGGCAGTCACGATGCTATCTTGAGGATGTTATGCTGGCGGGCGACGCGCCCGTTGATCTATGATCACGATCATACAGCTTGCATGAGAATGCCATTTTGGCACCGTGCTCCGAGCTCGGTGCTCATGTACGCTCGACTGAGGAATATCACGTGCCAAGCGCCATGTTATTACCAAGGAAGGATCGCGAGCTTCTTAGCTTTGTACGGGTAGAACTTGGAGAGCGCCCCAGCCGCAGTCTCGAAGATCATCACATGGAGGAACAAATTGTACTACTGCCCAGTATGCGGCAAGTAGATATAGAAGAAACTGTTATCTGATATCAGTTAACCTGGTATCAGATGTTAGTACTTTCCGGAATGGTATGAACTCGGTATAGCAAGTCGGATCACATAGCTAGATCAAGATACCGTCTTGTGGGTCGAATAAGAGAGAGTAGCCGAGTTTGAGTAGATGATTCTACGATGGCCGAATGTGATTCATCTCGTGCAATTCTCCTACTTTCGAGAACGCGACTGGTGGGCGGCAATCAGGCTGAGCCTGACAGGCTCCCGAGTGTCCAAGGAAACTCCCTGTCTTCCACAGCTCATCTTCCATCGACAGCTCTTCCAGTTTTTCATTCGACACTCTTACACTCTCCCCGACCCATTCATGTTGTGTTTCGAGGACATTAGAGAGGCTCTCAGTTATTAAATTTCATTCGGTTGTCTATACCAGTATGCTCGTTGCCCGCGAAAATTCTATTCTGATGTTCATCAACGGTTTCTGATTCGCGCTGATCACCTATGATCGTTCCGAGCTATCGAGAAGCTTGGTCTCGCGGTTGAGGACATGGGAGCCTTCAGGATTACGAGCCCGACCAGCTCGTCGTTCCCACTAGGCACGCATGAGGTTGACTCTCGACCTCTGGGCTTGCACGTGCTGGAGGGCTGGTCCAAGCTGTGGCAGCACGTGATGCATGCGAGGTCGTTGGAGCTCTTTGACATGAAGCGCCAGGAGCGGTGAGTCAGCTTGCTCGGACTCAGTAATCGATCGCTTACTGTGGAGATTTGTTTGCGTTTGACAACTGCGGTCTTCTCACAGCACCTCGGCGAGCTCGGAACCCACGACCACGGGCTTAAAAGGCACGCGCCTCTACCGACTGAGCTACCGAGGCTGATAACGTGTAGCCATACTATCCAGTGCAGCGCTCCACACTTTTGCCCAGGTGACGCGTGTCGTTTCTCCTTTGGCCGCACCCGACGTGCTGATTTTCGCGCTCTTTCGGCGTCCCCTGCGCAATTGTCGCTCGATCACACCGCTGGACGCTTCATCCAGGATCACTTCGATGCCGGTGAGTTGGGCCCTCTCCCGAACCGTACCAAGACTGGATTGAATCATCACTTGATAGCATACGGCTGGGTTCTGCTATGACGATTTGAGCGGCCTCGAGACGATGTTGACTGGAAATCTCTCCATAGGATACACCCGCAGTGAAGAAGGTGAGACTGAAGAAGCCTTTTCTACCGCTCCGCGAGGAACCCTGCCTCTGCCACTTTGGTCTCGCCTTCGCTGCAGAAAACGCCACAAATAATGTTTTCTTGTATCGCGGAAGAATGCTGGATTTTGCCCCGTGCAGTACATTGCCGCTCCACCCAACAAATTCGTCATCATCATCGTGTCCCCGATTCTGAAGCTCATCTCTGCGATGTACATGCCCCTACCTTTGTCGCGAACGGCAAAGCGACTCGAGGGGAAATGGGTTGAAGTTGAGTTCCATCTCGATGATGGGCCAGAACATTCCGTCACAAGGAAAAAGTTTGGCCCCTACCAGAAGAAGTGCTGAGTGTGAGAGAAAGTGTTTTCTGGCAGCACATTAGAACTTTCGCTTTCAGGATCTGAAACGACACTACGAGCAACTGACCGCCTCTTTCAACGTCGTGAATACTACGCTCGGAGGGCCTTGACATTGGCCGCTACCTCGATGGAAGTGGTTCGAAGCTCGAGTGTCTCAACCGAGTGCGATCGATAATTTTTCATTCCATGAAGTGTTACTTCGTAGTTGATATCGTTAGTGACAAAACCTCCGTGTATGTCACTGCTTCACTTTGACTCTAAATAGACGCTGGAAATTACAGCTGAATTATGACACTCGCACATACTAGCTCCCTCGCAGTGGTCTCGGCAGCATTCGATCGAAATCAATCGTCGATTTCTCTGATCATCTCACAGAGTAGAAATAGTAGGACGAAATCATCGCATGGTTTCCAATCCAGTGACTACTACTAATCTAAGTATTGTCCATCACACCTACCGCCGTCCCAATCCGTAGACAGATTCAAAGGTCGTACATCCTCGAGGCTAAGATTCAGACGAGACATCATGGAGCACAGGCTAGCGCTTTGTGTTTACGCTAGAGCCAGCCGGCCTTTAAAGCTAGCATTTCAATAATAAACGTCCTGCTGATCATCTCTCGCCTGCAAGTTCAATCAGGCGTCTATCGAAACTCACCCAACCGAATGCGAGTATTTCGGTGGGCCACCACGCTTACGAGGGTGTTCACTACGACAAAATGGATCCTCCTAATACCCAGGAGGTTGCCGAGTTCTCGCCAGAGTTACGCGAGGTGGCACTCACAGTGTTGGCGGTACCCATGCTGATCTCATAGTCGCAGCAGATCTACTGTCGCGTTCTGCCTCTACTCGATCTCGCTGCTACCAAAAAGAACTTTGGTGTGGTTACAATGGATAACCTACTTGGTGATGACACGTCCTGTACGATTGATATGATGAAGACAGTTAACGAGGAGAGTGTCAGTGAACGCCCCCAACCAGCTGGTGGAGGAGTTGAAGATCCCCAAAACCGTCGATGTTCTATAGATCCTCTACCAACCATCCTGCTGTACACTTCAACTCCTCTGGTGTCGGGTTCTGTACCGAATGCTTGAAAAAGAAGGTCGCTATAATGGAGATTCCTGCGGCAAGCGAGTACGGTGACAAAGCTTACTTGTGTGAAGAGTGCTACAGCAAAACGTGATGACACCGGGCCCCTTTCAAAAACTGAATACTAATCATTATCTATTTCTCCGTCGATTGTCCCAATAGTAGGTATGCTTTTTCATTCATTTTCCTGTAACGATAAATCTGCGTAACTGTGAGCTTTGCGTTGTTACTAGTTCCCTGTATAGCCGTTCGGGACTATCGCAAACACAACAACGACGGGGGTCTTTCGAAACGATAAGAATACTAACTCGATGGAGATTTGCTAACAACAGACGCTCCGACGAGTGACTAGTTGGTATTACGAATGATGTTCCGAATGGTTCAACAGGAACTCAGCAGATCCAGCACCGACTAAGTCAGTTGGACGAAAGAGACCCCATCCGACCGAGGGAATGTTTACAACGCATGACAGTTACTCGACAGATGTACGGCCGCCGTCTGGACGTACCGAGGGACACCATCGTTACTAGACGCAATAACGGCGATAGCAACAACGCCATCAATATGCAAAAACAAGATCGTGGCGCGGCTGCTCCGACTCCAGCTCGCGGTCTCCAAAGCCACGAGGACGGTCAATGGGTGACGACCGATCGAGTCGTTATGAAAAAATAAGAGAGCTTCGTCTCACGGTATCGAGGTCAGAACTCTGCTCCAGGAGGCAACATCAGGAGGAGTCACCGCGAGCCGCTATCCAGTGTCACGCCATCATCACCGGCTCCGAGCTATGCGGGACGACACCTGAGTTCTCGATCCACCACAAGCCGTGCGGCGATTCTCGCGCGCAGGTGACCCATCAACAACCAGATAGACGCGTCGAGGTAACCTGGGGCGAGAGCGTTGAGGAAATGCTAGTCGCAAGATCTTCCTTACCCGTCCTGTGTCCGTCGAAGCAAGCTCTTGACTTGCGCCTCAGTGAGAGTGAACTGAATGACGCCTTCTTTATGATCAATGAACAGCGCCTTCCCCGACAGCCAGCAGGAATTCCCAGAGTCCATCTGGGATACCAACACCACTGCATAGTCGAGGCTCCGTCGTAGTGGCCTGAAGCGATGGAAATAGCAAGGCGCTCGAAACTTGACGCCCTACGTTGAGACCAGCGTGGCGAGTCTTCCGGGGGACACGCTGTGAGGGGCCAGCGACTTCAGCCGAATACCAGCGCCCTGAGAGCCTCCCGTGTAGACGTCCATCTCGGCAGGCGGCGTCTTAGGCACCGTACACATCCGCAACTGGCACTGACCCGTCTGAGAAAATGCATGTGAAAAGGCTCATACCACACCTTGCCCAACTCACCGGTGACAGAGCGGACACTAGCATTCTCTTATCGCATCGGATCTTCTGGTTGTCCCTGACCCAATGCGTCTCTGAGAGTCCGAGGCCGCAGTTTTGCTGCAGGGCGTCTTCCAAGTCATCGTAAAGTTGATCGATCGAACTCTCACTTCTCAAGGGAATGTCGAACCTGAGCCAGTAGGGTCTCCCTGAGTGATGAGGCGAAGGGCCTTTTACTTTGACATCAGCTCGCCGGTGATACCGCTGTGAAGGAAGACTGAGAGAGACTTATCGCTGTTGTCCAGCAGTAAGGGGTCGAAGTCGGCACTCTGCCAATCCGAGCCTGAGAGTTGGTGATGGAGTGGTACGAGGAAATGGGAATAATCATTCTTACCCACGGATGAGGCCGGAGAGTAGCCTATAGAGCTCCCTGCTTGACTAACGATCTCGGATAATAACTCGTCGCATTTCTGATGAAAAAATGACAAACCGTCATCAGCCTCCCTCAGATACCTCGTCCGAGAGAGGCTCGTCATTATCCGGATCGAACTCGATCGCAGAGGCGGAGTCGTCCTGGTCTATTCCGGAATCATCATCCTCGCCGTACCAACCACACGGCGTCTCATCGATACTCTCGCTCCTATGGGAGCCTCGTCGTTGATCAACCTGAAGACCCACATGCTCTTCCCCCGCACAGGTTCGATCCCCGCTCTCACCCAAATTTGCAAAGAATCGCTCTCGCTGCCCGGTCGCGAAGGGACAGGGGAAAATGCAGCCGGTGATGGGCACGACTGAGAAAAAAATCTCGAAAGAATCTTACGCATCCGTGAAATACCTGCATCAACGTATGATACTTCAATAGCACATCAGGAGCGCAGTTCGGCAAAGGTGGGGAGGTTGGCGGCGACTCCTGTGGTTCGTACGACACCTCGCTCCCGACCGCCCGAATAGGGGCACCAGCAGCAGGAGGGGGTCCAACCTGCGAGAAGAACTTTGGTGTGGTTACAATGGACAATCTACTTGGCGATGACACGTCCCGTACGATTGATATGATGAAGACAGTTAACGAAGAGAGTGTCATGAACGCCCTCAACCAGTTGGTGGAGGAGTTGAAGATCCCCAAACCGTCGATGTTCTACACTCCTACTAACCATCCCGCTGTACACTTCAACTCCTCTGGTGTCGGGTTCTGTACCGAATGCTTGAAAAAGAAGGTCGCTATAATGGAAATTTCGCGCGCCACGAAATTGTTCAAGCAATAGCCAACCATCATTCACACCGAGGAGTACTACACTCTGAGTATGCAGGATGTCCCGCTTTTCCGATTCCAGCTGCTCCTCATCCTCGAGTAACTTCACTGACACCTACACAGTGGCCTGAGTAACAGCATCGGCAAGGACGGCGACTCACCACTCGTCTTGAATGCTCATCTCTCTTCCCTCCATTGGGAGATGCTGTCGCTGTTGTGGCCGGGGTAGGGCAACAACACTCGGGACTCTGAAAGGCAGATTTTGGCAGCAGATTCCAAAGCCTCGAAACTACATTTCTTCTCAATCTAAGTTTATACACGTGTATGATGCAAGACTAAAAGATGACCAGGGTATATCTACAGTCGCTACTCAGCATTTTACTTTTACGAGAAGGGCGGTGAACTAACCCGGCTCAGTTCTGTCGCCATGGTACTGAGCTGAGCAGCGCCAAGGCCTCGCAGTTCACTTTCAATTCGCCTCATCATGTGAGTTCAGCCCCTCCGGACTGATAAGCGCGCGCCGAAAAAACGAATTTTGTGATTCAAAAGGAACAGTCACGGCGAGGCGTTCGGCTGAGTTGTTGTTGCTTACCGGTAGAATGGTGCCCGTAGAGCTGTCAACCGTACTCATCGTTTGGAGGGCATTCGCAGCAGTCCCCT